ACGATCTGTTGAGGAAAGGTTTCGTGGGAGTTCAGGACGATGTTTTGCGTGATCAGTTACTCAAATGGGATTGCACGGACATGCATGGACTACTTGGTTTTACTTGATCGGACTCAACCTGTTATTCTTGGGGAATCTCAATGGATCATGTCCCTTTCTCTTGGATCAGAGGATCTGGCAAAACCATACAACACCTCTATTCTACATTATAAGACGTGTTTTTCCACGACCCTCTCAACGGGCCACATCCATGCGTGTGCGTCACGAGGCTAAAACCATGCGTTTGCCGTCTGCGTCGCGGCCGGGCGCCGAACAAAAGCGGGTGCTGCAAAAGAAGCGGCGGCGGGATGCGGCGGGTCCTCATGTCGAAGGGGGAAGTTCTTGGATTCGGTCAGAAGGTTGGACACAAATCATGTGGAGCACCACCCTCCAATTCATGTGGAGGGATATGGATATGGAACAATTCCCAAGACTGAATCTTTTCAGGATTCATTCATGAGAAGGGATCGGTTTGCCAGATGGTCATTATTGCTTTATAAGGAGATTTCATGATATTGCAAGGGTTATGGCCCGTGAGGTCTGTGTGTACCACCATGTCTGTCGCATGCAAACCTTGCCTGGTCATTAGCGACGGATGAGCGCCTACATGAACGCTGGCCAGAGTCCTGGGATCGCCTGCATTCGATCGCACCAGACATGGCTGGACAAATTCTAGTGGGCCTGCACGGCATGCGCTGATTCAATGAGGCACGAGGCATGAGGCATCAGCACACACACGCAGACGGTCACGCACTTATATTGTGCATGTGTGTGTTGTGTTGTTTTTTTGTATTTTATAATCTGCCATAGGCATGAGCCAACAATGAGCTAGCATGAGCAGGAAACGACAAGGTGGTCTACGAGTCTAGGAGTTTGGGCTTGAGAGGGTAAAAGTTGAGTTGGCAAAAGGGACCATAGGATGAGGCATTGGTGAAGAAAAGGAAGAACGGCAGCTAGCATTGCAGCACAGTTGGCCAATGAAGTTTGGCCAAATTCATTGGGGAAGGTTCTGGCACCCAAATCTGTAAATTGCTCTGAAGGCTGAAGGTTCATTGAAAAGCTGGGCCAAATCTATCTATAATATTCTATAATGATTTATAGTCAGTGTTTAATCGTTCACACTGGGGAATGGGCAGGTTACTTTGCTCAAAGCCAATGAAAGAGGATTTGTGGGTGAAACCTGCCAGAGTTGGATCGTGTCTGTCGATCCGTTGGAGAATCTGAGTTTCAGCGAGAAATTGCATTGACAGACGGTGGACTTGTGGACTTGAAGGCACTGGAACGTTTTTGAGTCTTGCGTTTGTTTTCTCTACACCCGGACAAAACAATTTGGCAATCATTTGGAGTCCAATCAGCTTCAACAGCTCATGCAAGAGACATATACAGCCGCCTACCGGGGGTCCCCCTGTCATCCTTTGTTATGGCTGGTTTTTGCAGTTTACATTTCTAGCTGGGTGTGCCGATTGCTCAACATGATTCAACATGCTGGACATGTTCCCAGGTCTCATGGATGGTCTGGGATATGATACCCATGAGATCCTTGGGGCATGAATTTCACTTTTCCTGGCAGAGCTTCTTACTGTTAACATGCATGTCATAGGAAGGCGGCTTAAAGACCCCCAGACACGCGAAAAGACCACACACCACATTATCAAACCGAGATGTGGATCGAGGAACAGAAAAAAGCGGGCCTCACGGGCAGAACAACTTGTCTATTCAAATCTCGGGCTGAAAAAAAAACGGCGCTTTCGGATTTCCTAGGTACCTGGACATGACCCCATAAAACCAGGTACTTGTACCAATTTTCCGAGGTACTTTGAGACTCCAGGTATGGGCAAAAGTGGATGATGGGGAACTGTTTGCTGCAACAAGGACGAACTGTCCCCGCGTCGCACCTTGCGGCTTACAGCTCAGCCAACCCAACGTAGCTGGTGCGGTCCCTGAGGCTGGACGCCATCGCTGCGATTCCAGGAACTGAATGCAAATGGACTATATGAGGTATTGGTTCCTTGATACTGGGCCTATTCACCTGCTATATATAATTTAATATAATTTATGGGTATGGCTATGGGCCATGGGCATATCATGGCTCATTCAAATTTAAGGAATCGCTGGCGCCGCCCCCACTTCCACATCTTCACAGGGTTTTCGGGATGGACGACTGACTTCGACCGGTCGACCCGTATGGCTCACCGCTCTTCGTGCTGTGTCGTGGCGATGGGAACGAGTCCCGCTTCGGTGTGGCTCCCGTCATGCAACGATGTCTTCGGTGTCCGAAGACGACAGGGCCGGTGACCAACGCCCGGGGGTCATCCTTCTTGAACAATAGTCTGGATATGTTTTTTGCCCGTTTTTGGACCGCAACAGATTCGGGTGGACCCTATTTGGATCTGTTGTAGCCCATCAAATCGTGGCAAGCCGCTGGGCACTGAAAACACACATTTCATGTATAATGGAATTAATACCTACACTGAGCCCTGAAACCAACTCAATGTAGCTAAATAAAAAATGCTAGTCTCATGGAATGTTTGGATTTTGTTGTGGCTTGGGCGGTTTTTATGATGGTCCAAGCCAACTAGCGCTTCCCTCCTGCTCCTGCTTTTGCGTTGAAGCCTGCTGTAGTACGTCCTTGCCATCTCGCAGTTGGTATGGGCCAGTGCTGTGGCAAAAGTGGTCAGAACTGACTCACGAGAACAGTGCAGACATCTTCAAGCAGTTTGACTACAACAGCAATGGCGAGCTTGAAGCAAGCGAGTTGAGAAATTTCTTGAAAGCAGCATTCCCAAGAACGGAATCTAGGTCATGGCTTGGAGCAATTTTTCGCTCCCTGCTTTGCAATGGGTCTCCCAGTTCACTCATGACTAATGTTTGATTTTGATACATTTTTGGGGGGATAGTCCGGGGATAGTGGGGATGCTCGGGACCCAGGAACTCTCAAAGGAGGAGCTCAGCGAGTTGGTGACTCAGTTTGATAGTGACCAGAATGGCACCATCGGCCTCAATGAACTTCGGGCATTTCTTCGATGTTACAATCCGGAATCGAAGACCATACAAAGGAAGACAGCCCTTCTCGTCATTGATGTGCAGAACGATTTCATCTCAGGATCCTTGGCTGTGCAGAACTCTGAAACGATTGTGAAGGTGATCAACCAGATCCGAGATAAATTCGACTGTGTGGTGATCTCTTATGACTGGCATCCTCAGGACCATTGCTCCTTTGTGGAAAGTGCGAACGATGGCAAGGTAAAGATCAAAGAGACAGAGGGTGTTGGCACATTCCAGGCATTTTCTCAGGTCACATTACTTGGTGATCAAGATCGTGCAGAGCATTCACAGATGCTTTATCCACGCCATTGCGTTCAAAAGACATGGGGGAGCGAATGCCACAAGGATTTAGTGGTGAAAAAAAGAGGACATGTCCGTCTACAAAGGGCAGAAGGCAAATATCGACTCTTACTCGGCATTCTTCGACAATTGCAAAGCCAATGACACTGGCCTCACCAAGCAGTTGGAAGATGCTGGCGTGACGGACGTTTACTGCTGCGGCTTGGTCTTTGATATTTGTGTGAAATCTAGTGCTTTGCATGGAGCGGAGAATGGATTTCGTGTGTCCGTGATTGAAGACGCGTGCAAGCCCTTGAACGAGACTGAGGCTGGCGCGGTTCAAGCCAAACAATATCAAACCATGTTTCACGTACTGTAAGTGACACAAAGAATATCCTTGCCATTTGTTTAATGATTTTGGTATGATTTTTTTGGTGGGTCCAACTAGCGAAGTCGACCTTGGCATCTCCTAATGGCAACTTGGTGCGTTCATTCCTCCAGACCCGCCCCACGGACGTGGAGATGGAGATGGCTCCGAACCAAACCCGGCAGGTCGAAGGCACCCGGAAGCTTCTCGCCAACGCGGGGGTACAGGTCATGAGTTCTGCGGAAGCCACGCGAGAGGTGAGCGTGCAGATGTCCGGATCCATGCCCCTGAAGGAGTTTCTGCAGTCAGTGACTCGGTGCTGCGTTGGAATCCTCAATTTGAAGGACTTTCAGAAGTCATCCTGAGCCGGCCGTAAAGGGCGCAACAGATGGGTAGTAGATAATTTAGTCCAGTCTGTCCAGTCCTATATGGATTCAGGTAAGATCATGTTGAATGATGTTCATGGTTCCCCCCAATCTGCAAAATCACTGAGGGATCTGAAGGGAACACGACAAACATGCTTAACTGACACATTCCCTGAAGCAAGCTGCTACCAAGGTGAAGTCGCACAAACATGCAGCGGCACTTCACAAGTCTGAACATCTTGCTTCACATTGTCCGTCCAAGGTGAAATCCTGATGTGGACAGTGTGATTTTCACCAGCCTGTATATAGTATATAGGCATCAAGTACTGAGCATGACAATGTTGTTCTTTTTTGTTGCCTGCGAAAAAAAGAGTGTGGAACAGAGCATATTATCCTATGTGTTCCTCAGCTGCTTATTTGGTACATAGTATGTCATAGCAATTTTTGATAATGTTTGGTTAATCTTGATTCTGGAAGGTCAACAATGAGATACCATGACCCGCAACTAGTTGATTCAGTTCTGCTTTCTTTGAGGTATCGGCTATACGTGGTTGAAACAGATCCCTTTGCTAGTCTTAGACCCTTGGCCCTTTATGGGATTTACTACCAAACCCCTAAAAGGTCAAAGTATTGACAGAAGATTTATCAGATGTATATAAATCTAAGGACAGGGAAGTTCAGCAGTTGGGGGAAGCAGGATCAACATTTGCTGATTTTATGGGATCATACATGCTGGCAGCCAGAAGCGTCAAATGATTTTGTATTTGATCTGGAAATCGCATACAGTCCATCTATAGTTGTACACACATCATGAACTATAGGTCTATAGGTTAAAGCAACTGAACCGTACTTGAAGGTGTGAGCTTTGCCACAAGCAGCGCGGAATGAAGTATGCGAGCCTTTTCTCTCATATTGCTTCAGTACTTTTGGCAATCCGACTGCTCGCAGGTGTTTCCTTGGGGGCTGCTCCATGATGGCTCGATGGCTGCTCTTAGCCACTCGAAACGGTGGACCACCACACCGCGGACAGACCCGATACCGCGTAGACCAACGCGGAGGGAATGGGAGCGAAGCAACGCCAAGAACGAGTAGACCTTGAGATGTGAGTCGACCAAAACCGAGTTCAGTCGAGTTGTGAGAGGGGTATTTTGACAAGATGTGAACTGGCCACCATGTGCAACGGGCTGCAAAGCTGACCGTCTTCCGTGGTTTTAACCCATATATACCACGCAAATGCATAAGGTTAGACTCGAACCCAGCATCAATTACGTATAGTCGTATGATGTCGTATGACTCTCTTTTGCAACAGACGGCAACTTCCCGAGCCTCTCTTCCGTGTCATTTTGTCCACGGTCTTTCTTCCATGTCCCCCAAAGCGTTTGCCCACGACCGAAGAGGATACATGGAGTTTCACATGGTCGAGGGTTGCTTCGACCGTGTGAAACGTCCCAATTCCTTGTGTTCTTCGTTGAGTGACCCATTTGGGCTCCAACGTGCAAAGGTGTTCCCTCCGTTTTCGGAGAAGGTCGTTGGGGTGGTCCCATGGAGGGGGTTGGGAGGATGCGAGAGCTACGAGGATCGAGGCTTGTCGCCGGCAAATCGAAGGTGGCCGTTGGGATGCCTGTCAAGGTCTTTTTCAATTTGTTTCTCTCCCATTGGATCATGGTAGAAGCTTGACTCTATACACTGACTCCACCTATCTCCACATGCGAATATATGTCACGTGTTAGAATGTCTATCTTGAAGCCCCCTGTCACCCCCCGCCCCTCCGAACTGGTACCATTTTCAGCTGAGGCCTGGGCCTCACTGTGCTCAGGGAACAAGTTCTTGGCCGCTTCGTCCTAACACCCCGCGGCGATAGCGACATAGCCAGGCATGGGGGGAAGGGAGAAGCCTGAAAAGATATAAGATGAGGGAGTCCGACCCAAGACCCCCGGTGTGGGGTCGCAAACGGAGGTAGTTGGAGCTCTGGGTGTATGGCTACATTCTACCTACCCACCTACCTCATTGAGTGTTTCAAGATCGCAGTGTTTGGTGTTTCTTGTGTGTGTGTTGTCATTTTTTATGTATCAGGAATCGTTTGGTTTCAACTGCTTGTTTTCGGTGTACTCGTAGCTGTAAAAAAGCTGCAAACTCTGGGTTTTGAACTAGGGATGAACCAAGAAAAGCTCTTTTTCCCCCATCTCCGGACGGCGCCGCACCACCGAGGCCTTTCATGAACCATCGTGGCGTTCTCAGGGGGGAGCGAGTTCCGGGCCTGCCCGGCCGAAAGACCACCTCCCAACTGGCCGAAGTCGACATGTTTGGTCTCGGGTGCGAACCAGGCGGCTCGCACTGCATGCACTGCATGGCCATGCTTCGGCTTGGTAGCAGGGTGTTCTCCATGTCATGAGATCTCCACCGGAAAAAGAAAAAAGACACCTAGGGAACATTTAAACAAATTGACCAATGGGTTCTCATGCCAGATATATAATTGTAGGACTCTATTCTTTTCAGATCTGAACTTGATGTGGCACAATAAATTGGCATTGGAGTAGCCAAATGATTCAAAAAGAAGACCTCTTTATCTGCCTTCAGAGCTCATGCTTTTCCAAACTGGGATGTCAGGCCGACGTCACCGGTCACCGGAAGGTTCTGCAGGAGAGGACTACCTGAGGTGAGTGTTCATGTATTTCCTATGCAAGACGTGTTCAGCAAAGTTCCAGGGGTCGCCTTTGATTGTTGAATCGGGTGGATATGTTTTCTATTGTGTTCTTTGTTTGCGGAATAGATTAGATGCTCAAAATGCGGCGTTGGATACCTGAAAATCCCAAAGATAAGAAGTTGACGATCTTGATCTCAGGCATAGCTTGAACGAAAAGGTGCAGGTTCACTTGCTGAATGCTGGAAGACGCTTGGTGGCAGTCCCGTTGCCAGGGCATTGGATATGCTTTTAAGGTTTCCAAGCATGTGGTCCATACACCATCAAGGGATTATGTGCTGTCATATGGAGCCAAGTGAGGCTGCATGTTTAGTTCTTGTTTGAATCCTTTGTGTTTTGTTCAAGTTTCCACAAAGACCTTTTGCGGAATCAATAGATGGCCGCAGCCCGGACAATCCGTGGATATCCATGGATGCATATATGGAATATTATGGAATATTATGGAATATATGATATGCCGCCTATGTGTCTACATTCATCCCAGGTTACATAACCACCCCAATGTATGCACCATATGCCAGTCCCATCAGTGTTTGGGTGCCAAAAGACCGTCGTCCGGCTAGGCCAAAGGCCACCTCCGTCATTTGGGCGGGTTGATTGACATCCCATATATATATACATACGTATGAGTATCCCTAGGGATCCACATTCCTCAGTAAGGTATGACTGGGCCCTCCAAGCATGAATAGTCTCCAATCACCGTACCCCAGGTTCGGTCTGTGGATCCATCGGGTATTTTGGTTGTGACAGATCATGGAATCTGCGTTGCTTTGATCCAGAAATGAATTGAGGCGAGTCTTCCGATGACGCCACCTGGCTGAACTACAAGGACCAAGCATGCAGCAGAATTGCAGGGGAAACAGTGGAACATCGTGGCGGTACAGACTGCCGGAGCACCGTGTCCTGAAACCCGGCCCCCCCCCAGCCTTTGGTTGTGTTTCAACAAAACAAGAGACATCCATCGGAACTTTGCTCAGACAGTCGCTAATACCACCGCAAAGAACAACGTCAAGAACCTGCCTGCCGCTTGCCCCTCAATTCATGGGTTCCTGACTCAAGCTCATTGGCCTTTGGTCCACCTGCCGTGATATTCAATTTTACAGAGCACTCATGTCATGTAAATCCCATTGAACATGGTATGTATGAACATGTAATCCCATCGCTTGTTTTGTTGCACGTTTGCATCCATTCTGTCTTCCTGTCTCCAGCGATTCCAAAGACACACACGACGTATATGCCAAGTGAGCTTCCACGTTCCAACGGGTGTGGATGCTTATGCCCCGATGAAAAAAAACATAAAGCCCAAATAGCAAACAGGTGGTTGTTGTCCACAATTTGATGACGCAGACACCCCATGTAACTATGGTATATACAGTATAATTACATGCCATGCCTGCATTGATCCCCAGGTCAACTATACCCCCACTGATGGATCAATAGGCCAGTCCCATGGATGGTGGCTCAGGTTTTTTTCACACCTGGGGGGAAAGATGGAAGGTCTTTCTGTCAGTGTCGGGACCCGACGAAGTCGCTGAGCCAGTCTTCTTCAGGCGGAAGTGAGGCAGACCGTGGAGGACCACAGCAGGAGCGCAGTGGGCACCGCTTTGTTTGGATGTTGTTTTTGTTGTTTGATGTCGACCTCCGATTTCGACACAGCTAGGATTTGTTCGATGTCGATCTCAAAAGATTTCAGCAGGAAACTAACACTTGAACCCCTCTGTATTATGCTAGTTGCTGGCCTGAAGAACCAATCCAAGTCATCATACTTTGGGTTATCCTGAGGGGTCCAGAGTGAATAGGACCCAGCACGCCCTTTTTTCAGCGTCCAGAGTCCAGGACCATCCAAAGCCGATGTCCTTTTCTTTGCACCAGTTCCACCATTCTGTAGTACATCATCGCCAACCTCTTCAAGCATCCTCACAAGGTACCTGAGATACCTGAAACCTATGGGCATGTTCATCGATCTTCACCTTTCATGACATGTCTTCGTCCGCATCATCTCACGCGAAACACCTGTCGACGCTGCTTCGACCGTCGACGTCAGGCGCTCGGAGCGCAGAATAGCGCGTCATAGAAGCGAACGACGTGCAAGGAGAGCGCCTGAACTGGGGTGGTGGTGTTCGGGCCTGTGGGAAGCTGAAAGGTGGTTCTGACGCCGAGTAACCATTGCCAAGTGAAAAACATTTTCCAGAGGTGCATGTTCAGTGTCAACGCTAGTTTTCGGAAGGATAGCCAAACCAAGACGGAGATAATAGTTAGAGCCCACGGGACTAGAGGTGGTAATCCTCAACTTGCGTTTGACTGCTGAATGCACAGGGAATCCACATGTCTTCCGAATCTTGCCCACGGGAGTTCGGCATCAAGTTAACACAGGGGCACCACTCCAGTGTGAAAACAAACAAACCCAGGATACAAAGATACACGCAGCTAGCCATACTGCTCACACCTGAACTTTCACAAAGCACTGCCATGGTGTCTAGCAGCAGGAAAGAGGCGACTGCTGTGGCACCCGTAAGAAAGTGACCGCCCAGCCAGTTCCTCTTCTCTGAACACCTGCAGAAACGTGCTATCTTTTGGGCAGAAGGTGTGCAGGAGGCACTTGGCCAGCGTCGCCAAGAAGAGACAGAAGGAAAGACGTTCTAGATTCTAGAGATTCTGGAGAGGTGAAACAGCTACAGAAGCTTCAATAGAGTCCTCGGCTCTCAGTTCATCTCGACGTTCAGATGATGGTTCACCGCTATGCCCCGGATGTCGGATGCCCCGGATACGACCCATCTTCATCTCGGTCGCAGTCACCGGTCACGGTCGCCACCGACTGAATGCCTCGCAGGAATCCCCATGAGCCGCTGGTGGAGATCACGGACCTGTCGTTACAGCACGGTCTCGGAAAGGAGGACGGGCTTTGAACCCGCGAGGGTTCTGCAGAATGTAGCGCCGCTTTTTGACGCATCAGGTTTTTAAAAGGGTGTGTCGAAGAATGTGAGAGAGTCATCACCAACTTGTCACTTGCCCTGGTACAGTTACTATATACATCTATATACTATGATGTTCAGGAGCCTACTGATATAGCTACTATAGTACTTTCTCATGTGAGGGCCAATCCACAGCTGGATGTCGGTCGTGTTTTTTTCTTTTGAGATGCACCAGGAAAAAATACAGCTGGCATGAGGGGTGATGAATATATAGCTGCATTACAGGTGGGGAAGTGGTCTGTAGGGTGAAGATCTGGTGACTTGTGATGCAGGCAGATGGCATTGATATCGACATCGCCACTTGGATGCATCAGCATCACCAGGGCTAGCTTACACGTAGCATCATAGTATGCCCTTGATGTGCAGGATAATTGAAAGAGTATTCCTTTATCTCTCCTTTCTAAGATACACGCGTAGTTTTATGCGACTAAGCTCGTCCCTCTTTGGTTTTCTTGAACCACAAAGTTTCACTGCGGTTGGATGAATCAAATAGGTGGATTGTTGTGTTCTTTTGTGCCCAAAACGATCCTTTCGTCAGCGATGAGGTGAAGGTGAATACCAACATGCTCCTGCCCAGTTCCTATTCGGTGTCATTGGTGACGACTCTTGGCATGTTCGGGCTGAAACGCCCACGGCCACCAAACTGCTGGGCTCATACGGCATGACTCATACGGGAAGATGGACTTGGAGCAAAGAGTTTGTCCTGTTTGGGACTGGCGATTTGGGTGCATGCATTGGGGTGGTTGACCTTGACCCATGGAGTGCCTGGGATGGAGTTGGGTGGTTTTCAGACCCATCTTCCGTGGAGGAGAATGGACGCCTCGATCTTCCTCCGTGAAGCGCCCCATGCAACTGTGAAGAATTGACATGGCGGAGCGCTCAATGAAGAGATACCGAGATACCTATGTGGCTCCATCCCCTCAGAAGGTGGGGACAGATCCCCTCAACCACCAACCCTCACCACCGAACTGAAACGGAGGGGGTGGCCAGGACACTTGTCAGCCCAGCACAGCACAGCGGTCTGCAGTAGCTGCTGCACCTCTCTCCGTGCTGAGGACCACAGAGGCTCCGAGCAGCAATCGTGGAAACTGCGTCTGCTCACAGGGGAACTTCTTGCATTGGAGCACCAAGGACTGGGTCGCGGTCATCTTCAAAACCTGGGTTTTAGAGGCTAGCACGGAATGCTTTTTTTTTGAAATGACAATGGCATATTGCTTACTGATTCGATGCTTGAGAGAGGAAACATAGTATCCTCAATGTCAAAGGTTCCTTCATCACCTGATTCTGAACTAGAAGCAACTCGAATCTTCTTAGAAGTCCCACGGCGCCCGTGGACCCCTAAACCAGCACCCCGACCCAAAACCACAAGAAATGGTGGATTGTTCCTCATGTGTGACAGGCAAGACGACACCTGCCAGACTCCCGTGATAATCCACAATGGAAAATTTCCAAAGAACAGCTCCAAGACCATCCACACATATCCATACACCGGGATTAATGTATGTAACTGTTCCATGCATGGATGGTCTGGGAAAGAACCGTTCCAAGATCATGGGTTCCTCAAAAACGCCTGAAGACCCCTCTCAAGTTGCTTGGCTCATGAGGAGTGCGTGCCTCAGAAGCCCTGGGGCTTCGAATGCGGCTTCTTCCCTCGCCAGCAGCAGAATCGCGTTTGCCAGGACGCTGGGAAGGTTCACGCAGAAAGGGTGGTCGCCGCAGCTGTAGCTTGCCAATGGAACCCGGTTGAACTCACTTGCCCCTTTATGGACTTGAAAAGGCCGCATTTTGGGTGGTTGGTGGCCTAAACTAGAGGTCACCCAGATTCTAGGCACTTGTATGTGCCGCTGTGGCTTTGGTCCGCCCTAGGTGCTGATTGACAGGCTTCCATCAGCCTACTAGCCAGATCGGCCGAAAACTGCTCACCGGTGAAGATAAAGCAACGCTAGTACGAAGCTACCAGTTTGGTAGCTTAGTCCCCCAGCAGTCGAAAATTCCTGTGACTCCGGATCCACATACAATTTGAGGTACGGTGATTGGAGACATTTGGAGACCATTTATGTAGAGACTGGGAGGGCCCAACGGAGTACTTTCTGAGAAGCTTGGCTAGTATTCCTACGGACTCTATTTTAGTATGTGCCCGGTGCCATCAAAAAGCTTTGCTACCGACTTACAGTGCGGGCCATCTATTTACTTGTTGCCAGTCCATACTGTACCCGTATACCCAAGCCTTTAAGATCATTTACAGAAAGGTTAACTTTGGTCTTGTATTGCATGCGTGTTTGGGTTTCACACCTAACGAGAGTTCAAATAATCCTTTTGTAAAATGAAAGTCCACTGTATCGTAGCTCGCGAGGATTCTCACTGAGAGCTTGCCAAAGTCCAAAAATGTCCACTATTTATCGGACTTATAGGACCTATGATTGATGTTTCATCGAAAAGAAGTCGCTTCACCGCCAGGATGGGCTCATTTGCAAAAGGCGCGCAAGCACGGAATGGCTGGCGCACGTAAAACAAAGAAAACAAACTAGGAGAGTGAAATCGTAAAACATTTTGTATACCTGGACTCAGGACCATGGGTGTCCTGTTTGGAGATCCCTGACTTAATGTAAGGTAGCTCATTGGACACCCAGACAGGATGGTCATGTTATACTTGGCATTGAAACCTTATTAGACTTTGACCTATGCTTGGCCATGAATCAAGTTCACACTTTATCCTGTGTCTATTGGACAAGAGGGACATGGTTGGGATTGATTGAAATCATGGTGCGCATGGATCCCCAAATATGGTCTTATAGACATGCATAGGATCTTCACAACAGATTCAACAGATCGCTTATGGTGTGCGAAGGTTTAAGCCACATAAAAAGTGTGTGTTTCATGTTCTTCTTTCAACGAGTCTTCCTCATAATATTGCTTTGCCTCTTCTTCTGAGAAAAGAAGACACGAAAGAACGAAAGACCAGCTGCCCTGGTGGAAGCCTTCCACCTCCCCTACCTAAACCGCTCACTGGACACCCAGAGGCTCAACGCCACGGATCTCTATGCATCGTCTGGCAAGTACACAGGCCGCCTGGGCATGTACATGTCTGTCGCACGGTCGCACGGTCGCAAGTACAGGGGTGGCTCTGAGGTGTCGGTGGAAAAGACCTGAAGATACCAAGAGAGTTGTTTTATTGTGACCTGAACAAGGACCCGAAGAATCTGGAAAATCTCGGGGAGAGTCGAACTCGGGTTCTTTAACATATCGATTGGATGGACCAGTCGTATGGGAAATGAACGAAGATTTCAGGGCCAAGAAACCCTGAACTACATCTCGTTGACCCTCTAGGCGTGGCACTTCTTCATAGCGCTGCAACTCCGTTCGGTCTACAGCGAGATGAACGCCACTTGAACCATCAACGGGTCCCCAATTTGGCTGCGCGTCAACGCGACACAGCCGGGGGGGAGATGGGCCATCCGCAGGTTGGACGTCCACCTCGCCTGCCAGCTGCGAGTATTGCACGAAGGAGGACGATTGCACCAGTGGCATGGAGAGGTGTGGGTTCAGTGGAGAGTCCGAGACGTCCGAGCAGCTGCTGTCACAGAGGGTTGCTTTTTTGTGGAGAGTCTTTGAAACAACTTTATTACTTAATCTTTGATCCAGGTTTACCAACTTCAGTTTGGGACATTGTTTCATGCCAACATGTCATCATTAATCTATATAGAATACGTTTAGTATTGTCTATCGTCACGTCTTGCCTATCGTCTTCTCCCTCCACATCGCCCTTACGCATCCCATGTCACTACTCCCGGTCGTCTCCGCGTGTCTCCTCGGCGTGTCTCCAGGCATTTGGCGGACTGCGTTCGCACCGGAGACCTGAAGCGCATGGAGGCCGCAACGGAGCACCGCAGCGGAGCTGTGGTGCGTGGCAAAGAACACACGCACGGAGAACCGGGTACGATCTGAAAGAGGGGGTTTCATCTCTTACAGGGTGATCAATCAAAGTTCGGAGAAAGAAGGCTTACTTATCTCACATTTTTTTTTTGTTGTGGGGTGGTATCATGATTCTTCTGAGAGTGAGTCAAGTGCCCAAGTTTACTCTGAATATCTCTGAATCTTTGTGGTATGATGTGGTCAATTCAGCTCAAATATCAAGATGCGTGATATTTGGCCCGATCCCACGCCGTTTGTTCAAGTGTACTTTTCACCCAGAGGAGAGCCTTCTCTTTGTGTAATTCTGTGTGGTCAGACAATGTGAGGGCTCAAGTGTTTCATCCAAGCGCATTCCAGTGCTGTGAAATATGCTGGACTGTCCGACTGTACAGGGATCCTGGACTGGCGTTTTGCCAGAAGCAATCTGGGTGCACGTGAGGGGGATTGTACAGTGACACAAAGTGTCCTATAAATCAAATCCAAAAATCCCTTTCTATCAACACATTGCTGCTCTGAAAGATATCCTGCACCTACTCCAGTGTTCCAAGTCTTCTCATCCATTTGCACAGAGTGTTCGACCCATTTGAGGCTAAAACAACTTAATATTTGTTAATATTATTCAAGTCAGCACCTGCAAGCAATGATACATGTGTCTTTGCAACCCCTGATTCCAACTTGTTGTCATAGACCTTTTGGGTACGAGACACTCTCCAGGAGGAGCTGGAGGACGAGGAGAAGGACCTCGAGCCCTGGGAAGACAGCGAAGTCTTTGAGGCCCGAGCCAGCGACGTCATGTCAGCATGTTGCGAAGGATTCAACAGAGGCATAGGATCATATAGGATATCCAATATCAACCAACACAAGTTCTAATTTTATTTTGGACAATATTAGTATATATAAATATAAACACTTGCATTCTTTGTATCAGGCAGAAAAAACACATCACATCACTCCTGGACGGTCCCGTTGGAAGGGCCGTTGTGACAGATTTGGGTGGTTTCCATTTTAACAGTGGATTCCTCGCCCCCAAACCCTGCCCCACCTGATGAGACATGGGACACCCAAAAAGGCCGTTGTGTCGGAACCGTGACTCTTGTTTTTCTCCGAGACTTCTTCAGGCACAGCACCTGGCACCACACCTTCTTGGGTCGCCTCACCTGCCCGTTTTCGCCCGTTTTCTCTGAGGCTTGGGGGCATAAAGGTGCCCAGCTCCACGACAGCGATGCTGAGGACGGTGTTTCGGCGAGCGATCACCCCGAGCCCAACCTTTTCGCGACGCACGTGTTCAGCGATGACCGAGAAGTGATCCATTGCGTCCCACGGACCACGGGAGTTTCCGCTGTTAGCTGAGCAATAGGATAGGATCGGATGTTCTTCTACCACAGGGCCATTTCTTATACCAAAGGATTCAATGATTTGGTTTTGAGATGTTTTGAGGAGAGGTATGGAACGGTGCATGTTGAATGATTTTGCCACACTCCTCAAGGGTCCTGGCTGCTCCACTAGCACTTGACGACCAGACAACCTCGAAAACTGCGCGCAGTTTCCACCCTGACCAAACCATACCACCATACCAAACCCCACCTGTGAAATTCCTCGTTGATTCCTTGATCATTCGAAGGACCAGTTGGCCACTCACCGAGTCTGTCACCTTCGTCGGTCACCAGTCAGTCCGTCGCCAGTCAGTCGCCGGCCGGCACTTCTGCAGGACTTGGATTCCTTCGGTCGACAAGAGCCCAAGATGTGCGTCACGGTGAAGGCGACGCGAGACGGGCGCGAGACGGGCCATCGAGGAGTGGGCGGAGAGGACGGGTTTTGGAGGGGTCCGGTGCTGGTAAACAATGAAAGACAGATAGGTCTCCATATGATGTCTCCCGAAAAGGTCAGCAGTTTGACCCATGTCAAGCGATTCTGTGTGCGGTGTCATCCGGGCATTCTCCAAGTCAAGGAATCAAAAAAGAGCGTATACTATACTATGTACATCGTATGTGTATTGCGTTTTGTTTTCTGTTGTTTTGTAACTTAACTATGTTGACCAGGCGTTAACCAATCGATGGCTAGGCTTTAGATTTAAGCCAACCTTGACTAAGTGTTGTGGAAAAGTTTTTGCAAGCCCTTTTCAGTGCATATATATAATATATACTGTACTATATGTGCCATACGTGCCATTTGTTCACTACAATCTCACCTATACTGCCAGCCTATACGTACAGCTGACTTGATCGGTCATAGGGTGTGTATGTTGAAAACATGGTTCAAGATACCAACGGAGTTGGACCGGTCCTTCTGATGGATGGCTGAACTCGTGAAGAAAAGGCACCGTTACGAACTACTCAAGAACTCACTACTTCTGAAGATTCACTTGTACAACCCCTTTCTTCAACCTATACATCTGAACACCCACACACTCCCCCGGTCCCCTGTGTTCTTCCATGGTCGTCCCCGGTCAGGTGACCGTGCCTGCTCTGACGATGCGCGACGAGAGCACTCGGCTCATTGAGGCCAAGCTGAATACCACGCTGCAGGCGGAGCGGCGGAGCGGCGGAGCAGTGTTGGAAGTGGGATCAACCACAAGGTACCTGGACCTTCAACAAGGGGTGTCCTGTCTGGAGGTCCCTTGGTAGTGTAGGGCAGGGGTTGATCAGAACAATTACATTCGAATGTAAATTAGATCAATTCGTACATGGGATACAAGCAAACATTACCATGGGATCAATACTGATCAATAGGGCCTAAATGAATTCATTTACAATACCATACAATATCATACAATACCACATGTGACTATCCCCTGGAATGGAGATAAATGAAGGAATGTGATGAATGAGATCAAGACCATCCACTTGCAAGACATTTTGTAATACCACGTGTAAGTATCCACAGGAACGGAGGGTCAATGTGCAAGGAAGGTGTTATGTGAATCAAAAGTTCACCCTTGAAGGAACGCTTGCAGTCATACTCTTGGTACCTTCATTCATAGTGATTCATAGCTAGATGCACGTGTGGGAAGCGGTACGTTTTGGAAGGCCCTGTGAAGTTGTCGATGGCAATGGTATTTGTGTTGCTCCATTCCATTCCCTACTTTATAATATATTGACCTTGACTAATTAAATTGTATGCTAGGAGCATCTAGCGGCCTAAAGCTAATGAGTACTGTTCTGTGATGGAAAGGCCTCAAGGTGCAATAGCATCATAAAGGTGATGTCGGTCGCATCAGGCATGAGGCCAGGTACTGTCCAGCATCCTGAGAGATATCGAATCTCCCCCCCCTGTATTCTAGGTACCTTGACACATCAAGCACTTGGAGCAAACCCCAAATTCGACCATGCTTTGGATCATCCTCTTTTGCATTGGCCCGGTCTAAACAACAGCAATAGAGGCTCCATAGGCCGTAAGGGTGGAGGCTCCATGGCTCGCCACGGGGGCGAAATGGTCACTTTTCCTTCACCAAGTTGTCCGTGCGGCTCCTGCAAAGTCGTTAGCTTCGCAGGTCATTGCGAATGCCACGCAGAAGGCCTGACGGTCGGAACGCATGCCTTGGAGAACACCGGGTTCGGGGTTTGGGACGGGTTGGTTTTTTCTTTGTCCAAGGATCCACATATACCTTCTCAGGTACGGTGATCGGAGACTATTTATGTAGACGACATTGTCGGGCCCAGTCGCAGCTTCGAAGGTGGCAGTGGATCTCTAGGGGCTTTCACCTGAGTTTTGGTATGACCGTGTTCATCCAGCTTCCGCATTCCAAACAGGTCGTGGTCACTCCACTTCCGATTTCAGGTCGTGTATGTTTCTTGGTCTTCCCTGTGGTGCACGTTGATGTGGGTTTGGGGGGGGTTCTTCACCAATCTGAAGACGCACAGGTCGTGTGCAGGTCAGGTGATGAGAGGTGACGTGTGTGAATCCTTGGGCTGTTCCTTAGACGACACCATCCCTTCTGCCATTAGGCAAAGCCATCGGATCCAGGGAGGGGGGGCCAGTCAGCATCGGCGACGGGGACAAACCGTTGCCAGCCCAGGCTCGGTGGTATGACGCATGGGATTTCCACGTCTCGCTAGAAAACTATGACTGTTTCGGTGAACTCGACCATCCTTTCGAATTCTCCTGCGCCGCAAAAATGCGCGCCACAAAAGGTTGAAAGGACATGGTCCTGGACCAGACATGGACCTTCTGGAAACATGGACCTTCTGGACATGGTCCTGGACCTTTCATGCAGACATGTCTCCAGAAGGTCCATGGGACCATGTCCAGACTCCTGAAGCTCAGCTGGACCATGTTCGAAGAGGAGCAAAAAAGCCCCGCACGAGACGACCATCCGAAAAGAAGACCAACAGCACCGTACCGTGCCACCCCCCCGCCGTTCTTTTGGAGTCTCAGGCCGATGGTCTTACACCCCCAATCGCCTGTGTCAAGGCCGATGCCAATGCGAGCGCTAGTGGAAAATCTCGACGCCAGGCTGTTGCAGAGGCCTGTTGCAAAACAGCTGCAAGGCAAACACGTATCACTTCAGCCTTCATTTCACTTGGAAGATACTAAGATACCTTTTCAGATTGAAAACCTTTACACAACACATCGCAGAGGGTGTTTCGTCCTTTGTGGCTTTGAGGGTATAGCAACTCATGCAACTCATGCCGCTCATGCAGGCTTGGGGCTCCGTTCGTTCGCCGACGTTCCGCTCGGTGGCCGGAAAGCGCCGGACGACGGTCAGGTGCAAGCAGAAGCCAATGCCAGCTACAATGCCACGGCCTACGCGGAAGCCACTTACACAGCGCCTTGCCTGTGGCAAAGAGGGCAGAATATCAATCACCTGTGTTGGACCTGCTGTGATGTTTTTTGGAGGTCTGGAAGACCAGCATCTGGAAACAGGCAGTGATGTCACTTTGCTCAGGGAGAGGAAGTCTTGACATGGTCAAAGTAGCCAGTTTAATGACTTAATCGATGGACCAATAGGCAGACTCTTACGTGCAGAATCCCTCAAATGCTCCAGGTCCAAGAATCACTAGAACCTGAAAACGAAAACAAGAACTGAACGTGATGTTATTATCCACATCAACTCTCCGTGCAACTTGCCACAACAATCAACTGTTAACAGTACTCTTATTTGTTTCTTATTTACACCTTGTTTACACCTTGTACCCTTATTCAACGTACTCCACTCCACCACGAGTTCCACTCCGACTCGTCTCCTCGAGGCCTATGCAGAAGCCACGGACCGAGCCACTGCGACCTACAAGGCGAATGCTGTGGCTGTTTGGTTCAAGGATCTTAAACTTAAACGAAGAAGTCGAAGTCTGGAAAGCTAGGATTACAGAGTACATATATATATATAAGGCACTGTAGGGCACTATTGTCACTATAGAGGGGCCCCTGTTCAACTTACAATTAGCAGATGTTCAACTCTGTTTTGCTTGACTGGGAGCTGGCGTTGGGTGGGTGCCAGGAGGGTTTGTTCCTAGCTGGTGAGATCGTTGTATGTGTCAGAGAATGGTTGACAGTCAAGAGCAACACTCTTAGTGTGGAGCGGTCAAAACATATAAAAACATGTCAAAACACTGACCAGATGACAATTGACCATTGATGGATCTCTGAACAGTGGTGGTACATCCGATCCGATCGATCCCAAGGGTTGATGATCCTTGAGATATGTTCTTGCATGCTGTAATATGAAGGGATTCATCCGAAGCCGAAGCCCAGTGATTCACGCCTTTTGGTTCTAGCCAGAGGACGTTTGCCACCGAGCGCAAACACTGAGACACCGAACTCCGCTTTCGACGAACGCCTCGACCGGTAGCTTTCCCGGTAGATCCGCTGCTGGGAAATCCGAGCCTCCCGAGCTGGTAGGGCCCTTTCCGCCTAGACTCGCAATGGTCCCAGACACTGCAGACACGCCTCAAGGGACTGGCATATCTTCGATCAGTGGGCATGATGGAAATTCAAGGGTCATATGTAGGGGTGGCATCGCTTCCCGTCGACCAGTGGCCCCCCCTTGAGACGGAGTCGCGAGAATCGCGAGGTGTCGCTGTGGCCACCCGGGTTCCGCCAGGCGGTGGCCACCGCAGAAGCCAAGGAGAAGACCAAGGTCGGTGCCACGGTGCCGTGGCAGAAAGGGTTTTTGGGTCCCAGTGAACTGGGCTGATGGATTATGGATGGATACGGGGTCTACTCCAATAGCTTGGGGACATGGAAGAAGATGGACCATTGGGATTAGGTTGGTTATGTTTACCTGTTTTAGTTTATATAGAGGACCATGAGAACACTGTTCAGAGCTGCTTTCAAGTCACTGGGCCGGTGGGTAGAATCGTGTGAACTAGGGTCAACATGTTGTGAAAGTGACAAGTAGTTAGATTGTGGGATCTCAACATATTTGCACTGTTGCTCGAAAACGCATCACGTGATGGAGGTAGAAAACACGTGAAAACATTATCCTGACCAAATTCTAATATAGAGATGTGTGTGTTGGTAACTTCAAGGCGTTGTTTGTTTGTTTGTTTGTTCTATCTTCTTTTGGGGGAAAGGTATATATATATATATATAGTCCTAGACTTCCAACTGCATCCTTGGAAAGAGGACACGACACCTATCGAATCCGCCAGTTTGGCCATGCTACGCATACCTCTGCTTCAACCCAGGACGTCACTGCTGCGGCCCGGCGCAATGGCACTGGGGCGGCCACGAAGATTGCGAACGCCACCAGGACCTGGACCTGCCCTATTGACCCATCAGTTTGGGGGTGCGTTGACCGGTGGTCCATGTAGGCAATTATGACATGGGTGGATGGGTTGGCAGTGGAGGTGGTTTCACTTGGCCCAAGTTGGATCGTTACATGCGCCACGTGGGAGTTGTGAAAGAGAGGGACAGCTTTTGCCAGACGTAGAACAGTAGAACTTATATATATATACTTTTTGAACAACGGGTGTACGTACCTCCGTATAATACTGGCAAAAGGTGTTCTACTGTGTTTGTGTGATGCTTGATTATGCATGTTTAAACTTAAACAAAGTGCGCCTTGGACACTCACTCACTTGATGTAACCTCCAAGGCATTGTCCACAGATACATGATGATATACGTGCTCGTTGACGACGTTGATGCTGAATTGAAACACCAGTTTCATCCCATGCGCATGTACCGACCCTGTTGTGCACTCTGGTTCTCCCAGCGTTTGATATGGCACCCAGCCAAAGGAACATGGAGAATGGAGACCAACAAACATCGACGGAACGGAAAGATCAGAAGATCCTGCCAGGAGTTTGGGGTTGATTGGACACTCCAAAAAACCGCCTCACCTCGGCTGCTCCTACCAGCTCCAGCTCCATCCCCACGCAAGTTCCAGTTCCACCGCTCACCCAATCTCTTTTCGATTTTCTTTGATAGGAGCGTGAAGGCCAAAGGAGAAGCAGGACTGAGTTCACTGAATGCCCTTCAGACTGAGTGCACTGCAGGCCTTTCAGCACCTCCAAGCATGGCTGTTCAGCCTTTTCTGGGTTTGGCGCTCAGTAGACTAGGCGAAAGGGCTTTGAAAGGGCTTTTAGCTTTTGGAGTAGGATGAGTCCAAAGTAGAAGGAGCCACAGGCAGTCTACTCTCCTTCTAACTAAGATGCTTGCGAAATGAAGAGTATAGAACTCTGAAGAGAAGGTGCCAACTTAATGCATCACATTCTACCATTGAAGAGAAGGAGCTGACTATCTAGGTCACCCAGTGAAGCCTCCAACAGGGCCCAACCTCCAACCTCCAAGAAGCCTCAACGAAAGACCGTACGTCCACCGTGCGGGTCCAGCACTCGACCTGAGTGCTGAGACAGGAGTGCTGGTGAAGCTGAACCAAAGTGGGCATGGCACTTTGGACCCAAAGTTGGACCGAAGGTGGCGACCTCTCTCGCTGTGTATATACATTATTGACATATATAATTAAGACGTAGTAAACCATGGTTGTCAAAGGTGGTCAACACCTTCAGAAGGGCTCAACAGCTCAGCTTCTTGTGTCGTTCTTTGTAGGTCGGCCTTAGGTTTGCGCCGGTGGCCTCGTGTCCCGGATGACCTGACGGTCAAGACTGGGTCGATCACGAGGGAACGATGTCAAGACCAGGTGAGATTCATCACCTACCTGGGTGGCTCGTCACATTCCGGCCTTTGTTGTTTTTTTGCTGAAGTTCCAATCACACAACCTTTAGCAACCACCAAAAGCAAGGGATGTCACGTTCCCTTTTTTGTTGTTTATGCTGAAGTTCCAATCACAAAACCTAACCGACAACCACCAATGCAAGTAAGAAGAACACAACGTATCACAACTGTACTACTATATTTAGCGTGTTTGATGTGGTGGTTGTTGTTGTGGTGGCTGTGTTGGTCTACAAAGTTGCTGCTAATAAACTGTTTCTCCATGTCATGTAGACAAAGGGTTAATCCAGGCTACAGGGTTAATCCAGGTTTTTGTTGCCACTTCAGATGCTGCCTCAGGCAAGGCAAGTGCAGAGGCCGAAGAGAAGGCTACCGTGCACTTAGAGGATGTGGAGCGAGTCACCAAGATGCCTGACAGCAGTTCTCGATGTGCAATGTGTTGATTCTCCAAAATCAGCTTAATGTAGACACTTGATTAACAAAACACACTAATATGAAGAAGTGTTCCAATCCGCAAGATTCTATACAGTAAGAGTCCATCCAAGTGGACACCTTCAGCTGTAAAAAAGATGGAATCAAGACACTAGCGCCACAAGGACCCCTCTTGGTATCACACTTCAAATGGGGTGCCTTACCCATCTTACGGGTGCTCGTTGTTCTTCCGACAGTGTCGGGCCCCGTCCCCCCCGAGTCGGTTTGGAACATTCTACTACAGAGATTGGTTGAATGAAATATCATCCATTTGTGGCCAAACCCACCTTGGAGCAAGCCGAGCAAGCTACCCAGCTGGTGACATCCCCACCTTTTAAAACTTCCACCAGCCCTTCGAAGGACGATTTTCAGGTTCCAACCTTCGCTGGTTACGGGAAGCTTGGCGGCTAGATATCCTGCAGATGAACTATGGACTCTCAAAACCACTAGAGGCGGTCGAAAAACGGTCGGAAGCGCGGGGTCGGTGAACATGTCCATGGCACCATGGCACTCGTGTCCACCCGGACCCAGTGCCACCGAGCAGTGCGGTTTGCGGGTTTTCTTCGGGTGCCAAAAGCGACCGCACCGGCCACAGATCAACCTTCCGTTGGATGTTCGCTGGAGAGTCGAGAGGGTCTCAACTCAACATGACTCGGTTTGTTTAGCGCAAGGAATGCGACGGTGACGGTGGAAGGACATGGCGGTCTCAAGAAGGTCTTCCAGGCAGGAGAGTGGCAAACCGCAGTGAGTTGATGAAAAGCCAAAAGGACTTGGTGACTATTAGGACTAAGGACAGTTCTCAGGACAGTTCTCTGTTATAAGGACTAAGGGTTGTTCATAGAACATGGGTTGACTGGAGGGTCTCTGGAACTCTAAGGACTAAGGACTGACGCATGACCGCCATTGAGCTTCACCCCATGAACCGAGCAGCGTGTGGAGTCCCACCTTCTCCGACACGGAGGTAGTTGTAGGAGCTCACACAGGGTGAATTCAGCCGGTCCATCCACCAGGGAGCCTGGCGACGGGGATTCTTCGTCACAGGCGACGGCCACAGCGAAAGCCATTGTCGAGGCGAAAGCATGCATCTCTGCGCGGCAGGTGCAGATCGGGGGGGAAGGAGCGGCAGGACCGAAGATAGAAGGGACCAGGGAAGAGAGTATAGTCTCCCTAAGGGTCCAAGACCATCCGAATCGGACGTCCATTGGCCCCAAAGACCATCCTCAGGAAGTACTTTCACCTCCAAGACCATCCTCAGCAGGTACCTGGACCCTATAGGTCTGTGAAGTTGTTTGGATCAGATGTTTCTGTTTGGATCCGATCCGAAGAAGCTACAGGGATTCACGTGGTGCTTGGAGCGTCAGGTGTTTCAAACTGGCCTCTTCCCAAGGTGATAAGTCTTGGATGGTCCTGGGAAGTTTATGGAGTTTCTGACTTCTTCAGGTGATCAGATATACTCTTGATCTCCATGGGTTGCTTTCTGTTCGAACGGAGCTGAAACTCGCGGCGAGTTTCACACCAGGCCGAAACTTCTACAGGTTCTGGGCGGAGAAGATGCGCAAAACAGAGATGGTCGCGCCAGGAAGATAGACCCGGTTCAACACCCAGGCCCAGCTCCGGAAAATCGGAGCTGGGCGTCTCCGTCTGAAGTTCACACCCAAATGGGTCGTTCGGTGTTGCAATGTGTTTCTATCACTCCAAACAAAACTTCTGAGCAGCCACACCAGCCCAGCTGCACCCCTTTTGCCGAACAAATACGACGTGACACGGGATTTGAGAAGACTGCATGGTGACCACTGACCATAGTGGGTTGAGAGTAGATGGCACAATACCCGAAGTTCGGTGGTTGATTATGGGCCCCCTTTCAAGAAAAAGACATCTGGGCCCCGTGCCATCCAACCATCCAACTCAACCTCTAGAGACCAATGTATTGTGCCTGGGATGTATTGGGCTTTCAATGCCAAACAACAGAGATCCAGGAGGCTCCATGCATCCCAGGAACGCAGCTGATGTTTGTCCTGGCAAGCATTTCCTCAGCCTCTAGTGCATCCATGTTTGTTCCCTGAGGAAAACCATGGAACACATTATATAAATCCTTTTAGGTTGCTTTCTTTTCACAGGGACCACCACACCCAGCCAAAGGCACTGACTTGTTTCGTTGTCATCGTTGTTGTTGTCCAAGAGGACGAGCTATTGTTCGTCCGAATGATGCTCAGCAGGCACGCAAGATGCTCAGCGAGCAAACGATGAAGGACTCGGGTAAGAGCTTCGCCCGGGCGGTCTACAAGAAGGCGCACTTCGATCGAATCAGATTGAGCTGGGAGCGTACCCCAAAAAACGGACGTTCTAGGAACCATCTCATCTCAGCATATCTGAGCTCTACAAACCAACACAATAGAACTGAGGTCCTATATCTTGAACTTTGGAAAGTCACTTGTTCTTTGAGGAAAAGAACACATTAAAATGCCAGATTGGGGCGATCATAAAGAGGTCCCAGATTTGCAGCCGAACGTTCCAGCAACAGCTCTTGTGTATACCCCTCAAGACTCTTGGCCCAAATTGATCCCCAGGTTTGAGCCAAGAGTCCTCTATAGTTCCAACCTTGTTTAAATAAGATTCATAGGATCAATTGCAATTTGGAATGTCTCATCGTCTCGGAAACCAAACAAAAACGCACAGATCCAGGCCTTTTTACTTGAAGTTACTTAAACTGTTTAAAGCTTCGTGAGTAAACCCTGTGCATCCCACCGTGCCAAAACCTTCAAACACCAGAACCGGCGTGACTCCCGAGCATCGCCAGGCAGAGCGCGAGGCCTACGCCGAGGCCAAGGACCGCGCCACGCGCACCGCGGTGAAGCTGGCGACGGAGGTGGGGCGCGCCTGCGGCCAGAGATGGCCAGAGCCTACTGCACCTTAGGGATCCAGTCGTACCGAACCTCAGAAGGTACTTGGACCCTCCAAACTTACATAACAGTGTCTCCAATCACCTTCTGAGAAGGTACTTGGATCCCTAGGGTACAGTGCTCATGGTCCTGATGTGACGGTGTGATGACTTCTTCGGAAGATGGTGGGATTCTGGTGGATGTGACGACTTCGTGCATAGTCGGACATGTCTGGCAGATGCCAGCTCCGAGTGAGAGGTTCAACCTGGTTCAATGCCTTTGCCTCCAGTCTATGTAGACGCCAACGGACCGGACCATGAACGCCAGGCAGCGCAAAAGCGCATCGACCAAGACATCGAGCATCAGGTGAAGGACTACACCGAGGCGCTTGCGCCTCGCGGCGCTTGAGCGACGTTTTTTTTCAACTATAGACGTCCGGGGGGCCGTCGCGACCGACGCACGGTTCATTGATCGGGTTTTCTTCATGTTTGAGCAGTGCAGGTCTGGACGCACAGGAGAATATACCAGGAGTCACAAGACGGGGTGGTGTGGCTCGTCTCATCCAGGGGCTGTGGATGGAGATGGGCACACTGGACTTCCTCCAGGTTCGGCACCCCGTCGAACGTGACTGCCTGGAGTAACAAGGACTCACCAGAAACCACCAGCGATCAGGAGGAATTCCTGCCTTCCCCATTGGAATTCCGAGTTGACTTCGATGCACGGCCTGTTTATAGACTATATTATACTTGTGTTTACCTATACTACATTGGGGTGGTTTTAGGGGGTCAATGTAAGCATAGATTACATACATGATCATGCATGGATGGTCCATCAATCTGAACTTTGGCGTCATCTCTTTCTTGGCCAAGTCCACCACACTTTCTCGCTGGCTGCAAACCTGCACTGGCCGCCGCGACCTCCAAGCCTGTCCCGGTCTCACGAGCTGTCCTTGGAAGGCGCACCGTGAAGAGCTGGAGAAGATGGCGCTCGAGGATGCTGTCAACAGCACTCGCGACCTGAAGGAGTCTCTCCAGGTGCGAAAGCGGCGGCCAGCAGCCAGCGAAGCGGCGAAGCGCGGCGCAGCTTGGTGCCGGAGCATCGTGGGAAAGGGTGTTCTCCCTCTTTTGGTGGGAAACGGAGATGGTGGGTTTAGTTTTTTGGGGGCCCATTCTTGCTGGATGTAGTAAGCATTTAGTGGGTGGTAGGGGCTTGGGAGATTGGTTTAGGTTGAGTTGAGAGGCTGAAAGTTGTTGAAGTTGTCGATGTTGACCTTGACCACTTGTTGTGATGGTGCTTGCTTGTGCATTTGATCACTCCTCGATTGAAACAAAAACTGGCTTCTCCAGCATCTCATTGAACCATGTTTGCTGTTTTGCAAAGGAGAACAGAGCACCACACCCATCACCGAATTCTCGGTGCGTCTGCCGTGCTGCTGAAGCGTGTGGCGTGTGGATCACCGGTGCGCAAGTCTTCTAAAGGATTATTTTACTCACAGACTCACAGCCATAACTTTCCTCAACCCTGTGGCTTTTACATGCCAAACCGCCGATTTTTTGAGGCAACTCAAGCGTTCATCATCGCCACTTGGTATTCTGCCCCTGTTAAACGCTTTCTGTGTTTTAGCCAATGCATTGGCAAGTTTCAGGCACGCATGTGCGCAATGGACGCAAGGCGAAAGCAGTGAAAGAGGCGATGCAAAAGGCTGTCGAAAAGGCCGGGTTCTTGAGACATCACCAAAAGGGACAAGTAAACCATCCAGGAGTTCCATGTCAGGGTGCCTATGGGGGGGGAAACTGATTTGCTCAGTGGCCCAGAACATGGTCGCTCACTGCATGGGACTAAAGACCAGGCCGACATGGAACTCCTGGAGCGTACCATTTTGTGTACAGTTGCGAGTGATTTGTTTGTATAGGAAGGTAGTAGTCATTGGGGTTACACTACAGTACTGCAGTGCAACAGATACTAAACCTCCTTTCAACAAACATGATCCATTTTGTAAGGCAGGCAGTTTGTCTAAACACATCGATGTATATACGCACACAATCAGTTGAGATATGCCAGTGTTCCGTGCAAGGATTCGCAGATTCATTCGCTTGCGGAGTACTAGCCACGTCCAAAACCATGGACTATCATGGACTCGAGCAAATTACCTGTCCCTTCTGTTTTGGTTTGCAGGTGTTCGGGTCACTTGACCGAAACTGCATCACATATCACATAGATTGCAGGTTTCAGTGTATGCCCTCCCAGATCCTCCAGCGAACTTGAGGGCGCAGGGAATCATCCACCTTTCGGGCACACCCTACTGACCGTATGGATCCACTGCCATCTTCTGAGACGGTGATCATGGAGACATTTTGAGACTGTAGGCGATGTCGGGCCCAGTCGTACCGAACCTGAGCTTCGGTGGCCATGGATCCTTATACGTCCTGAACCGTGGCCATGCATGGCCATGCCATCCTCCACGTCACCAGGGACCCTCCACCCACCGGTCCAACCACAGCGGACCAGGTCAAGACGGAGGCGCCTCTGGAGGCCCAGCGGAGGGCCGATGCCAAGGCGCGGAGGGCTGAAGAGCCGAGCCGATGTAGGAGACAAAGAAAAAGGCGCCAGGCCCGGTGCCGGAGGGAGGTGCGGCGCACTCCCAAGCAGGTGTTCTTTCCCATATACTCCATGTATGCCATATATGCCTACATTGGGGTGGTTTGAGGGGTCAATGTAGGCATATATGGCATACATGGAGTATATGGGTTTTCTTATTGTTTTTGTTGGTGAGGCAGACAAAGCGATCGTCATTTAGGGTTGAATTGGGATGTGTCTTACCCATCCCGCAGCAGGCAATTGTTTGATTTTGAATCTTGGTTTATACCCGTTTGGGCTCCTGGCCTACCTTCGGATATGCCGCCACAGGACCAACCCCGGGTCAACCCAGTCCCATGGAGTGCTTCGTTGTTGTTGTTTTGGTTTTCTATGCATGAACAGCAGGCTAGTGAACAAGAGCCGAGTTGTACATGTGGCTCGTCCACTTCTTTGCTTGTACTTCATGCAAAGACTCAGCACTTTCAGCCGCAATCCCTTGCAGATTGAGATGTTTTCAAGGCTGCTGTTTTGGAGACCTGTAGAGTCGGGGCCGGGTAGGAAATTGCAACCTCGTCAGGCCAAGAAGGCTGCTGAAGATCAGGCGAGGGATTCAGAGTAATCTGCTATATATATATATATAATGCTAATATATATGCAGGTGATTTGGATGTCACATGGCTTGAGTTTACGCAAATCATATCAGAGAATCCTGACCCAAAAGGAAGCCAAGAAGCTACAGAAAGTTTCTTATACTGCAATAATTGCCTTGCTAGTTTGTTACAGCTTAGGTAGATGCATTTAAGTCGTTAAGAACTAAAGGATTCTGCTGCAAGGCGCACATTCAGAAGCAGTGACCTTTGCTTTCTGATTTGGCTGGGACAGCCACAAATCAATTCAACACCGAAAATCAATCGACACATTGATGTTTGATTGCCAGACAACTCTTTCTCAAACCTGAACTTTGAACTTCTGCGGTTCTCAATATTGCTATGATTTGATAGGATCAATGGGAGCCTCAAATAGTAGCATCATACAAGTATACTTGTATGATGTTACTACTGTATTTGGGTGTATATAGGATCTCTCTCTATATATATATATATACACACTCACTATATAGTATGTGGAACACCCACGGGCTTCCCACAAACCCGGTGGGACCCCAACCTACCACACGAGCCGCTGCCGCGCTGAAGCCTCGAGGCCACGAAGCTGGCGACCGAGGAAGCCCGCGAGGAGGCGCAAGAAGGCCTCGAGAAGAAGGCGGTGATCAAGGCTCGCGAGGAAGCTCAGGACCTGAACTGGCGGGACGACTGGGCACCAGACGACTGGGGTGAGGTGATGGGGTGGGGCTCGAAAATAGGGAGACGTTCCGCCCAGTTCGACATCCTGGAGGAAGGGAAATAAATTCAAAAACAGATGAGGGATTTTCCTTGATTGGAGGCAAGTGAGCTTGCCGCAAGGGTGCCGAGCTCGGGCGACTGTTATTCTTGAACAGCCAGGATGGGATTGTTTGACCCAGGGAAGAATGATTGGAACCAGGGTATGATGGAATGTAGTGGAATTGTGCAAACTCTTTCTTCGTTTGGGAGTTTGGAAGTGTTCAGAATCAGGAGCTGAGTGTATCTGAGTGTGATGCTTTTTTTGCGGGTCAGTGATCAAGCTACTCAATGATCTAGTATCTAAGTGGAAAAGTTATGAAAAAGGTCCCTGGGAAGACTAAATGTTGTTTTGTTTGTTTACAAGCAGGGGGTGCTGCTCGTATTCTCTAGGTTCGCTACACTGCTTCACAAAAAATTGCCGCAGCTAACAGCTAATTGTAGATGAGACTTCAGACTTCCAGCTCTTAAGACTTCCAGAGGAGTGCCAGCACGCAAACATGCCTGGTTTCCAACGTTTCAAGAAACATGTAGTGCTCACAGGTGGTCACAAGTTGTGGTGGAGTCCGATCCCTGGTGCTCAACCCAAGAGTCCAAGTCCTGCCCTCGACCCACTCCGCCGTGGTGCAGCGAAACCGCGAAGCAGCGGAAGCCAGGAGAAAGCCAATGAAGATGCCAAAGCGAAGGCCTTCGCAGCCGCCAAGGCCGAGGCGGAAGAAGCCGCCAAGGCGCCGCTACGTGGCTGCGCTGTTGAAGAATGTTGATATGAATTGATCACCCAAAAGAAGGAAATTCAGATTTTGAAGTCCATCTTGAAGATTTTCAGTGTAGCTTTAAGATTTGTGGCAGCCCCTCCTTCCCAGGAGCAGGCCAGCAAGGCAGCAGCTGAAGCTGCTGAAGTCCTCGCGGAGCAGAAGGCACTTTTGTGTCGGTTTCAGTTGTGGATCATTTGCCTTCAGCCGCCACCGGGAGGGGTTTGGCAAAATATGGGGAGAGAGAACTGACTTGAAAAAGCAGTGTTTGGGGGATAGATTCAGAGGCAAACAGATATTTGCTTAGTGCACAGAAAGGTGTTTGCAAACAAACAAGACTCTTCTTCATAGATTGCCTTTAATGCCATTGATGGAAGGGATGCCCCCAGTCATGCACACGCAGTATGGGAATATGGTATAACAAACTGTAAACTGGTACCAAGCTGACTCCTCTATGCTTCCCAGTCGGTTGGAACTCATTGGTTTGGGGGTCAGACCTTTGTGTTTTTGGAGAGTGGGCCCTTGGGTGGACTTCCATCGACAGCAGAAAGAGGAGATCAATTTTACACTCGGCAAACATCATGGTTTCGTGGATGGCCTGGCAGCCTGTCACCGATGTTGGAAGAACCTTTTCTTCCTCACTCTCCACTTGATGATTCCAGGGACTGTATATAGGTACCTGGAATTTCTCAGCATATGATCCGCTATGCTGCTGGGTCAGCGAATCCAATGTGTTTGTGTCAGCGAATCCAAGATCAGGGGGATGAACCGCCTCCGGAGTTGGCAACCTTTGCTGTGATTCGATTATTTTTGAGGATTGGGAGACTTGTGTGTTTCTTTCATGAGTGAAACATGTCGCTTGTCTTTTGATGGTTTTCATGTTGCAGATTGGAAGAAAACGTTTCAAATTTCAAGAATCCTTAGCTGCGACATTCTTAGTGCTTGTAAAGTGTTCATGGGTGAAACTTGTTGAAGTGGAACTATTATTGATGATTCTCCTCAGGACCCAAGGGTAAGACCATTTTAATTAAACATATTTCAACATATTTAGCTGATTAATGAGTATGACAACTTTCAATGTACAAGCACTGAGGATGTCTAACAAAAAGTTCTGAGCTCGATACATTTTTTTTTTCAATGAACTTTGTATAATTGTCCATCCACAGTTGCAAGTGACGCCCCAGCACCGCAGAAAACCTCAGGCGCGCAAGAAAGCTGAGGAAGCTGCTGTAAAGAATGCCGTGGGGGAGCCTATAGTCAGTGGGCCTGCTAGGTGGTTTCAAGCGTATCAAGATTTTCTTCTCAAGAAGAATAGGTGAAAAAATGTGAGCAGCTGTATTTAAAAGAACACTGAGTACTGTTGATCAAAGAAAGCTGGCACCAACATCTGTATTTTGTAGGACATGCTACTAGGCTACAGGTTCTTTGGCTGGGCCGCTGCAGAAGTGGGCCAGGTCGGGGTGTACAAACCTCACGGGTGGTGCCTATGAGTTCCGCCTTCGCAAACACAACACACAGACTCCACGGACTCACCATCCGTCTTCGGGCCATCCGCCTCCGGTGACCCCTTCGAACTGGCTCGGTTGGAGCGCGCAGAAGCCTCGGTGGGTCGTTTGACTGTTGACGACAGTACCCAGGGACACAGATGGAGGACAGATGACGAGAGAATAGACCACGACAAGCAGGTCAGTCTACCAGGGTGTTTCACAGGGGGGTTGACCCAAAGCCATTTCTGGCATGCCTTGCAAGATGGTGCACTATGGCAATGGACCGCTATGGACCCTTGCGCTGTGGTCTCCCTCCCAAGTGTCAAGACGATACAAGGAACTAGATTCATGGCTTGAACGTCCCTCACTTATTTAACTTGTGTTTTACACCGATGATGTTTTAAACTATCAGGAGCATCCGTCCTGGGTGTCCTGGCTGGAGATCCCTAACTAGTTCAAGGTAGTCCAGCCAGGACACCCAGGACGGATGGTCCTTCACCATATGATATACACATACAACATCAAGAATTATAATTATGATTAATTATGCAAATTTAGCGTACAGGGCCTGTAGCTCTTGTTGACAGCTTTACAGACGGCTGCGGCGGCTGCGGGTTACTTCCTCCAGGTGGAGAAAGCCAGTAAACTCTTGGTCCAGGATGCGGAGGTCGAGGATACAGAGGTCGGGACGGCTGCGCGCATTTTTTGGTTTGGGTATTCAAAATAAAGCATATGTATGGGAACAAATTAAACAGATGTTGCGTTGCGCCATGGCCTTTGATGTCGTCCAAAGGGTACCAAAGGACGGAGCCTTTTCCTTTCGACGGATGTGGTGGCACCGCACCCACCGCACTTGAGACCGTCTACCGTACGGTCTACCGCAGATGTTGGATGAGATGTACTGACACCCCGAAGGAACTGAACGAAGCGATACATAGGGTCTGTCCTAATACCCAATAGATATAGGTCCTATAGGTCATAGGATAGACCCACAAAAATATATGTGATGTGATTGTATTTATTATGTGTTATTTGTTATTTGTATTGTAACACTTATGTTAGACTTTTATTCAACAGTCTATATATGTGATGTGATTGTATTTGTTATTTGAGACGACTTTTCGACAAACAGATTGTCTTCCACAGGATTTGTTCTCCGATTGGTTTTCGTGGCGGGCGGAGAGTACTATGTGAAATGGACATGCTGTCGACTCACCGTCAACTCGCTGTCTACCGAGTCTCAGGTGGACAAGGACACCGAGTGATGAGAGACGCGCTTAGCAATGCCGGGTGAAGCTGCATGCGCTGCGCCTGTTGCGCGCCGGTTGCGCAAGAGCTTAGTGGAGGCTTCAAGTTTGTTTTGGTTCAAAACTCATTGACATTTGCTGTATCCTGATGTAACTGAACTGAATGGACCCTTTGATCTGCTGTAAGCTATATACACAGTATACATTGTCAATTATGTCATTTTATTGCATGGATTCACTGGGACACTGTGGAGGTTCTGGTGAACTGATGAGATGTCAAGGTGCACTGAGCTCAGCTGCTCAGCTGCTCCGGCGGAACAAAAGAACAATTCGGTCTCCTGCTGTGAGGATCGAGAGGTGAGTACGGAGAGAGAGGTACAGGAGGCAAGTTGTTGAATAGTGTGCACTAGATATAACATCCCATGCCCCGCGGCAGTTCTTCTTTAATGATTATGTCTAATTCCGCACGTGCGAAGGCTGACAGTTAAGGATCACAAGAGTTAGCATCTTGAAGCTCAAGAATAACTAATTTGGAATAATTTGGAAGGGAAGAGATTTCGGTCAGCTTCTTGATGTGGTCACCGAATATATCTCCAGTCCAGTCTTTCTCCATGCAGGTATTACCGACCTCCACAACCTTCAGGTCCTTCTGGCTAGCGCTTTCCTGCGCTCGCAGGCCCACCGGCGTCAGAGGACCTTGGCCGAGGCCAAGGAAGAGGTGAAGTCCTTCACGGAGGCGAAAAAAAATGAGATGGGCGGCGTTCATCGCCGTAGGTGGGTGGATCGAAGGTCGAAACCTGTCACTGGAATGCCTTTGGTGTTTGTGCTCCGACTGGTAGGACCTTGAGAGTGGTCAGAAAGAATGTATGTTTTGCTACGTACCCTAATGAGATAAGGTATATCGGTATATCCAACAAGGAGGCGGAAGAGCCTTCAACAGGTACCTTCACACTAGGTGGTAAGGCAGTATATATATAGATTAGTCGACATTCGATGACATGAGTATGTCCTCACCTTGAAGGGCTTTCCTGGCTTTTCTATATTCTATGTGATCCGCTGGTGAAGAGCCTCAAGTATCCCGCTTGGCTTGCACCTCTCAAAAATCCTCTTCCAAAATTCCTGAATAGGGCTCGTGCAGCTCTGTCAGGAGCTTCCTTCCTTTTAGTTCTAAAAAAGCACCACATTCCATTCTGTTGATTTCTTGTTCCACAAGAACTTCCTGACACCTCTTTCGCCATTTTTTTTAAACGACGGTCAGGGTGTCCAGGAGGTGGAGGATGCCGTGGCGGCGCCCCTGTTGCTTCAGGAGTCGACGGAGTCGGCGTTCTGCGGTCAAGGAGGGTTGGCCAAGAGGAATCAAATCCAAAGAAAAAGGTTCAGGGCGAGTTCAAGGGTTCCATTGAAAACACGATGATATGTTTCTGGTCGTTTGTGATTCTTCTTTGGTTCTGGAATTCTTAGTGAAGTGTTTCGCTGAGTCGCTGCGGCGTAGCTGGATGAGTAAATCCTCCGCGGTTGACAAGGTTTCGACTTCAATTCCAG